AACAGACAGAGAATCAGCACTTTGGAAACAGGGCTGAAACAGAGGGGATTATGGGTAATGCAGCAATGATCTGTTTGGTGTTTCAGACAAACACCTCAGACACGTTTGTCTATATCTGAGACCTATAATATATTGATGAAAAACAGTATAATAGGGGACCTTTTCAGATATTGTTTATTTCTAGGTAACAACTTCTATGGGTCAGAGATGTGCGAGGTCCTGCAGGAAGTGAAGGACAGCACCGAGAGGACGGCTTATATCCTGATGGATAAGATTCACCCCGCCCCCGTCCAGAACGTCCTGCTGAGACGAGACGCTCCTCTCCAGATCAGCACCTGTCTCAGTGAGCTGGGAGTGTTCGGAACATACGTCAGGTGTGTAATCAATACTGATGACATCACTGTGTAACACTCACTCTTATATTGGCTAGCGCCCCGACACAGTACTTGATAGGCTAAGGGTTCTAACCACAGCTAACCAATCTGAGCAGACTGGGCTCTGGTTTCAGACAGAGGGTGAAAAGAGGTGCTGCAGCACAGGCAGTATGAGGAAAATAAATAGCTTTTTGAACATTAAAGCATGCAGACATGTCACCTGAAAATATGCATAAAATGCTCCGTTTAACTAAATGTCTTTGGACATTCAATAATTAAAATACAATCATTAATAGTGTAATTACACACTTTACTGTCAATAATACCAAGCATTTGGAGTATTACAGCTGGATTTAGTATTCTGCCTCTCAAACAAGAACATAGGTTGTTGCCCACAGCCACTGATGACATCCCATTGTCTCTTTTCATATTTTCTTTAATGCAGCCAAATAGTGGTTTTGTCAGAATCATGCTTTTGATATCCTGTCTTCTGTCTTTGAGAAGGGAATCATTACAAAACTCTTGAAGTTACTACAATAAAAAGTTGCTTTATTTGCTCTCTGGTCTGAATCTGGGTGTTTGAGCTCATTTGATACCAAATAAAAAAAGCTAATCGGGGCATGATACAAAATATCCTTCTTTCAATACAACTTGTTAACATGCTACTTCTTTTCTGTATCTCCACAATTACATCTTAGACTCTCAATATTAATTTCCCCTTCAAAATACCCCTATTAACATCTTGCCCTGCATTCTCCTGTCCAGTTCTTTAGTTTGCTCACTTCATTTATCCTGCCACATGAATACATATTAGTAGGGATGCCAGAAACTGACCATGATCAAATTCGAAAATCGGACAGCCCTGGCGAATATTAATCGATTATTCGCCGCCGCCGCTCCCCTCCGCTTGGTGTGTCAGGGCCTTAAGGCTTCTAATTATTTACCTCTCATTGTCCCCTAACAGAAAAGGTGAAGACATGGTGCTGAATGAGTGTGTGGGCCACCTGCTGAGGACTAAGAGCTCAGAGCACTCTGACGGGGGCGTGGCATCGGGGGTGGCGGTGCTGGACAACCCCCTCCTCTTCTGAGAGTCTACACCCCTCCCTGCTGCTTCAGACAAAATAAATGGACAAAGATCAAGTCAAGGACACGCATCTGATTCACACTTTCACATGAACTAGCCTTTCCTCTCAGTGTGGATGAAGAATGAACTGCTGTAAGAGGGGGTCCGCACTAATGTATTTGTTTTATTTCATGAGATTTGGCTGAAGTACAAATGTGAGCGGTTCCAGAAGAACTTTATAAGGACCAAGTTTTTATCAGTTTTTGATATCATGATTTCTTTTAACGTAAAGTGCTGCTATCAAAAACACACTCATGCAACCAGTGTGCCTAGATTAAGCGACCTTGAGTCAGAGAAAAGCGCTATATAAATAAAATTGATTATTATTACGAAAGGTTTCTCTAATGTCCTTGGGACAAAAAACTGATGTAATATAATATATCATTATAGTCCTCTTTCATGGAGTTGAATCTTCAAACCCACATCACTACTGTCATTTTCCAGAATTGTAACCCATTAAATGCACACTTGTATACATCCTGTAACTGTTGTTTTAAAGACACACACTCAATTATTTGTACTTAATACTATCATTTTTGAATCAGTCTGGAAGCCCTGTATTTATAAAGTATGCACAATTCTTGTGTACATTTTATTTGACCCATCCTGCATTTGGGTCCACCCTTCATTGCTCTCGTGTGACAGAAGGATCCAACCAACATCATTGGCCGCGCAGGCAGGTCCTTTTCAAGTAGAAATCTGTGCACCTTCCTCGGCCTGTTGCTATAATGAATTCCTTACCTGATTGGATTAAAGACTTTCTTCATACTCTCCACCCTGCTAGATCAAGCTCCTGTCCGACTTCCGGCCACTAATTCAGTCCTTGGATCCCGCCTAGCCTTTGGAGGGACGGGGACGCAGGGCCGGGCCACCAGCCATGCTTTCAGCCCCTGCTGTCCTGTTGGTGGTCCGGCTGACTCCAGCTCCTGTCCCGTCGGCCCTTAATATCAGAAATAATGAAATAGAATAGAATGTCGAAGAATATGCAAAAATCTGCATAATTTAGTCTGTCAAAAATATCAGCATAGTAGACTGTCGAATTTAGCAGAAAAACTAAGTAGTATAGTAGCGCAAACTTATTAAATAAAACACTTTCTCTCAAATATGCAACAAAACGGCATAGTATTGTATGGTGGAAATGTAAAAAAGGCATTATACTATGCTGTTTTCCGAAATGTTTTATCCTACAGTGTTTGTTTGCACTGTTTTGAAATACTAGTAGTACTATAGTCGAAAAATCTAAATAGTATTGCTAATCAAAAAAACATCAAACTGTCTAAATGTGAGAGAAAATGACTATGGTATAATATACTTACAAAAATAATAGGATTGTATGTTGGAAAGAAAGGTGTACAATAGTATTTTCGATAAACAGGTATGTTATATTGTAAAAAAAGAAAGCATAGAATCGTATGTTTAAAAAAAGACATGGTAGAAAAAACTAACACACACACTGTGTTGCTGTTTAAGGATTGTATTTGTAGAAAGTTCAAGGTAACCAGCCAGTCAACCAGAACATCAGCAAGTGCACTTCAGTTATCAAGTTATCACATTCACAGTTTTGTGGCACACATGAACTGGTGCAGGAGACCTTCCAGATTGTTCTCTGTTCACAACTCACCAAGACACAGGTGAGACTAAAGATTTTTGACTAGCTGTGTTCATTCACAGCAGCGTCTGGTCATGAGATACACACGCACACACAGTTTCATCCCTTTGAAAGAACAACCTACTGGTTATTTGTAATCTGTATTTTCCAGGAAAGATAAAACATATTTGACATCCAGACAGTGGAAGAAAAAAAATGAAGGGTGTGATTGGGTTTTTGGCAAGTCACGGCTTTACTCACACAAAGGGTAGCATTGAAATTAAAACCCTGTAATCCATTGCTGCATTCATAGCAAACAGAAACA